AAACTCAGATATCATTTAAATATACAAAATTATAAATCCCATACATTTATAACATAACTTAAAATGTTTTAATTACTTCTACACTAAGACCACACTTTAGACTTCTCTTGAAACTTGTACATCCTTGAGTCCAAGGTAGAATAAAATTGTTTAGCCTCTTCAGCTGCCCAGCTCTAGTCAGCAGTTAACACCATTTAAAAGTCTAATTATTCCAGAAGCTTAGTCTACCCATGTCACTCCCTACACATAGAAGTTAAGCTATAATTGTAATACTGAATGACAATATAAAGAAATAAATTATACATATATGTCAAGTTTCCTTTTGTAGCATTTATATTTTCTCAGATAATCACTATATATTAAAAATCTATTAAATCTGCTTAAGCCTTGGCAGGTTGAACACTATGAATACAAAACAGAACAGTGTTAGGTTATTCAACATTTGATTATTTCCTAACCTCAGTTGAGTATATCTTAAAACTGACCAATATATAAGCATCTATGGTGTTTTAATATAAAAGTTATTATTTATTTAATATCTACAATATGGGAACCACTGTCATATTTCATTCTAACAACTTTGAGTAGTTGCAATTATTCCCATTTTACACACAAGGAAATTAAGACTCTTAGAGATTAAGTAATGTGATGGAGATAGCAAACAAGTGTATAAACGTGTGTCTAGTTTCAATGTCTGGGCTAATGATAACATCAAGAACTCATCTTTGGCAGTATTACCAAAGTAATGTTATATAACAAGTGCTTAAAATTAAAAAAAAAAATTTACCTTAAAATATGGTAAAATACTATTGACTATTATGAAATGTAGCCATCATGCTATATAACAACTTTATTATCTGAAATTATAATAAACTTTCCTAACTGACCTTCACTTTATCAACTAGCAGCATTGACCAATGCTCTCCATACTCTCCATAAAAATAAATTGATAGATGGGTGCAGTGGTGCACTTGTAGTCCCAGATAGTCAGAAGGATCACTTGAGCCCAAAAGTTTGAGGCTGTAGTGCACAATGATCACACCTGTGAACAGCCACTGTGCTCCAGCCTGGACAACATAGCAAGACTGTCTCTGATTTAGAAACAAACAAACAAAAAACTGATGGACACTGCTAATATTGATCATCAGTGGCTAATAGGGTACTTTCTAATAATTCCCTGCCCACTTTTACTTCCACTAGTTGAATTATATATTTAATAAGAACCTGGTGTTTTTTCCTAAGCCTGTTTATGCTACTCCAATTATAATAACTATTATTATAAAGCAATTATGAGCAATTATAAAGAAATAGGAGTACAAAGGAAGCTATTTCTATGAAAACTAAGTTGAATGCTTTGGAAAGAGCATATTTTGATGAACAATATCAATTCCCTCTTTCTCCAAAACAAATTCCTGTTGCATTATGTGTAGACAAGATACCTATAATGCTGTGTGAAAAGTTTAAAAATTATTTAAAAATTATTAAAAATGTAAGATTCTACCCTCAGATTGTTCTAAAAGTCTTATTCTACTTCTTAAAAAATCAAAGCTAGAAATCTTAGGTGCATGTTCTTGGTATGGTTTATATAGAAAGATCATGTTCAACTCTAAAAATACAGAGCCCATCTCACCCCCAAAAGGGGCCATGATTGTACCAGGTAAAAAAAAATTAAGGCTGTTATTTCTCTGATTCCCCATTTAAACTTTTTCTATTAACTAACCAACTACCACACCCAATAATGCAGGATAAGAGGCTTCTATTATACTTATTTAGATGCTTTAACACTCTGAAGCACAGCTGTCTCCTATTAACCTACTGTCTGTCTCCACATTAAAATCCACTTTGAGAAAATAACAAAAAAAGAAAAAAAAATCCACATTTTGCTCACATTCTGAATGAATATCGAGAAGTTCCCCTATTTACCCTCATTTTATGGAGAACTCAACATTAAGTATGGTAATCTAGTTTTCTAGCCCAGAGACAAAAAGCTAGCAAATTAAGAGAGGCAAACATAAGCATATTAACAACAAAGCCTACTGATAGCAAGGCAAAGTAATATCAGATCTGGGGGGAAAAAGTTAACTAGCCAATGCTACATATAGATCTAAAAAATAAATACATTAGGCTGGGCGTGGTGGCTCACATCTGTAATCTTAGCACTTTGGGAGGCCAAGGTGGGCGGACTGCTCGAGGTCAGGAGTTCAAAAACAGCCTGAGCAAGAGTGAGACCCCGTCTCTACTATAAATAGAAAGAAAATAATTGGCCAACTAATATACATAGAAAAAATAGTCGTGGCATAGTGTGGCGCATGCCTGTAGTCCCAGCTACTCAGGAGGCTGAGGCAGAATTGCTTGAGCCCAGGAGTTTGAGGTTGCTGTGAGCTAGGCTGATGCCATGGCACTCACTCTAGCCTGGGCAACAAAGCAAGACTCTGTCTCAAAAATAAATAATAATAATAAATAAAAATAAATACATTTAAAAAAAGATAAGCTGTAATGGTTTAAGCTAGAGGGAAAATACTCAAGTATCTCTTTAGGGCATTTCTAGATTATGACAGAGTACAAAATTGAAACAATGCCTCTTTATCATCAACTGAAGGTTAAATTACACAGACTCTGTGTGTTCTTTTTTTCTTCTTTTAATTTTTTTCTCACAGTGCTACTCAGAATTTGTGTTTTCTCTACTAATCCATCAGAAAGAGTTCAATTCTTAAAATCATCCCCATAGTGTACATTCTTTTTTTAAATGGAAAAGCATTAATATTTCAGAAATCTCTCCATATACCATTACCATTGAAAACTTTTTGGTGTTTAAAGAGTTAAGTTTCAGTTATCCAGAAAATTCCTTAGACATTAATGTAGAAAAGAAATGAAGTATTACTGTTTTCTTAATAAGTGTTGCTCATAATTGTGCCTTTCAAAGTGTAGGTCATCATGATCCATTAATTGGTTCTCCCCCCCCCCAAAAAAAAACTGATTCAATGGGTTGTGGCAGCAATTTTTTAAAAATGTGAACTAGAGCTGGGTGATGTGGCTCACACCTATAACCCCAGCACTTTGGGAGGACAAGTCAGGAGGATCGCTTGAGGCCAGGAGTTCATGATTAGCCTGGGCAACATAGCAAGACCCAATTTCTAAAAAAAAAAAAAGAAAGAAAGAAAGAAAATTAGCCAGGCATAATGGCACACACCTGCAGACCCAGCTATTTCGGAGGTTGCGCCAGGAGATTTGCCTGAGCTCAGGAGTTTAAGGTTGAAGTGAGCTATGATAATGCCACTGCACTGTAGCTCAGGCAACAGAGTAAGACTCTGTCTCAAAAAAAAAAAAAAAAATTAAAAATAAATAAAAATTTTAAAAAGTGAAATACAGCAGAGAAGACAAGGCTACATTGAATATAGTAAGGGTAAATATATTTGTGAAAAGCTTGTTTCAGTATTTCTGTACTAGTTTGCTAAGTAAAAGATCTTACTTACTTTGGGTCCTTATTTTTTTTATAAAGCCATGGGTCTAAAAGCTCATGTTATTATGGAATATAATCACAGCACTACATTTGCAATCCCATCATTTTTACCTCAGAATGCTAAAGAAATCTACCATTTTTAAAGGGAATTTTGATGAGTAAATTTATTTTCCCTAGTACTCTATATTAGTATAACTAAGCCATCTTTATTGTGTTTAGCACTAGTTTTGGCTAAAAGAGATAGTGTGAAAACACTATTTTTTAAATTGCTTATGACTTTAAAGCAACTTTTGACAACAATCCAGAACAGTGACTTTCATTTTATTTGCTTGTTTATTCTGAAATGCAATTACTGACCTTGGTGCCATTTTTCCTAAGCCACTGATCTAAACTTGATCAATACTCAATATATTTCGTAGGGGAAAAAATCTAAAGTAGGCATTCTACACAAGCAACCTGTTCAGTAGCAATACACTTGCTAATACTTAGTACATACATAGCTGTTGCCTGAGTTTAAGTAACAGCCAACACACCTAAAACTAAAACACTAAAGTATGGATTTCTCCACTCCTTTAGCACATTTCAAGACGCTATTACCAAAGACATATTTTATTTAGAAAAATTGTCCTTGTAATCACTTTGAAAATATGGAAAACAATGAGTTTAAAATACATATGCTTTAAAATAAGCATCTAATTTACAGGACAAATTAGTATTACCTATCCTAAAGTCTCAGATTTGGAAGGAACTCTCATCTAGTCCAACTCCCTATCAAATACAATAATCCCTTCCTTACACTATTCCTTGGAATCAAACCCATTAACTGAAAAACCCTCACTACTAACCACTACACTATACTCAAATCTTCTAAAATTGGTCCTTGCCACGAATCAGAAGACTGATAAACAATTTCTTTGAGGTCCTTGAAAGGTACAGTGTATACATTACTCTCATTAGTCATGAAAATATAGGCTTAGAAAGGAAGTGACATTTACTTATTGCTAGGGATTTGATAATCCAAACTGTCCATATATTGATATATTGGATACCGGAGTACTTTGTAAACTTTTGGACTTTGCTTAAAACACAAAAATAAACTAATCAAAGCAGTACTAATAAAATAATAGTTGTCAACTCTAACTTTTCAATTTATCAAGTTTACACTGTCAATATGAAAAGGCTTGTAAACTTTAAAGTTGAAGTTAAATTGACTTTACCTAAAAATAAGTAACTGCAACTCTGAAATGATACTATGTACTGTGTCAATAGATACAAACAGTTCTTGACTTTCATTTTGAGATACACTAGCTTCTCTCTTGAAAACTACTGCCTTACAAGTACTTTTGAAGAACGTCTAACCCTCTCTTCCATATGCCTTTCTCTACTTCACCAGCTGGAATCTGTCACAAAAACAGATAATCACATATGATACAGAAATAGTTGATCTTGCTGCAGAATTAGGTTAACACTTCTAAAATGAGGCATAGAAAAAGAGCAGAAAAAAAAAAAGCGCCAAGCCCTACTTAAATAAATCATTTACCTCGGTCTGGCTTCATTTTCACATCCAATTTCTACCCAGAGTGCTGCAAAATACACGTGTGGGTTCCTTCAACAGGCTCGCCGCTGATTCTACGTCTGCTTCTTAGTTTTCAAAATGCTAAAAAAGATGAAAATAAAGTTAATCCGGTCCTGCTCTAAAACCTAGACCTTGCAAGAAAACTGTTAAGTTAGGCCTCTTCTTGGCACTTAGTGCGGTGACAGTACCATTGGATGGTCTGAGAAAAAACAAAAAAAAAAAAAGCAAGCAAAACTCTCTCTGAACCACCTCCCCAATCTCCTCCGGACCGGGGAACACCCCTCTTCCCTGCCTCTGTGCTCTTCAGGCCAATGTGTCCTTCTCTGACACGGCGTCTCTGAACCAAAGCAAGATCTATTTATAACCTGGACATACAGGCAAGAAGAAGAAAAACAGTCAAAGCAACACAAGCTAACTGACCCCTTCGTAAATAAAAAAACGCCTCTGGGAACAGTGGCACCTCCGCGACGGCTGGTATGGAAATATTTCTTCCACCTGGTGCCTGGGCGCAGGAAACTCTTCCAGCTCCCAAGAACTCCGCCCGCCCCGCTGGGCCTCACCTGTGTAATTAGCCTCTAGCTAGTCTTCCTGCGGCAGCCGCCGCCAAGTTTACACAGAAACCCGAGTCACCTCCTAGTGCCCAGCCCCCAGCCCCCAAACGAACTCTCCTAGGCTGTCCCGGGCCGACCCTACCAACTCCGAGTCCTGCGGGCCCGGCCCGAGGCTGGCCCCGGGAAGGTGTTTGCCGCTGGGGGCTCGCCCGTGCCCTGCGCAGCCCGCCCGCGGAGGGCCCCTTCCGTCCCGCGCGGCCCCGGATTTCCTTCAGCGCCGCCGCTCGGAGCGCCGCGCCGGCCCCTCTCCCCTCCGGAGAGTTGTTTTCATGGCTCCCTCGGCCGACCTCTGCTGACTAACTCGCTCTCCTCTCCGCTCCCGATCCCTCCTCCTCTTGGCACTGCTCTCCGCCGCTCGCCCAGCTGCTCACATCACACTCCCACCTCAGACCCGAGGCTCCGAGAGGCGCAGGGCCGGCGAGAGCGGAGTGTGGCGCGCAGCGGCCGCAGGGGCGGCGTTAGGGGACCATGGGGGCCCGACGCGACAAGCCTGACGCGGCTCCCCGGCGCCCCTGTGGCCATCCACCCCCGCCTCGCTCCGCTGCCTGAGCTCAGCCCTTGGCCCTGCCCGACTCGCACCCGAGCCCCGCGGCCCCCGGGCTCCGCCCGCCCACCGCCCCGCTTGCCCCGCGCCTCTGCCAGCTCCTCGCCCGCCCGCTGTCTCTAGCTCTGGCGCCCCAGCTCCCGGTCCCCCTAGCTCGCCCAGTTCTTTCTCTGCTGTTTGCCCTGTCAAAACACTGCCCGGGTCACGTGTCCCAACAACAGCCAACCCACCGCTCGTCACTTCCTCCCTGGCGGCCTGCGTGGTCCGGGCGCCGGGTCGTTATGGCAACGCTGCCGCGCGCCCGGGGGCGCTAGTCCCGGGCCGGGTTTTCGGTGCAGGTGTCCGCCGGCGTGAGGGCGCGAGGGCGCGGGAGACCGCGGCTGGGAGGGACCGGCGGGCTCTGGGGGGGGGTCCGAGAGGCGCGCGGCGCCGCGTCTGCCCGCTCGCGGCCGGCCGGGGCGCGCGCCTAAGACCGAGACGCGGAGCTGCGCAGTTAGAACACACGGTAACTGGGGAGATGTCATCCGAGGGCCTGCCCTAGACGTGGGGGATAATTATAGCCTCCTCCTCCACACGGGATGCTGGCGCGCACTGTGACCGAGCCCCAAGTGGATTGCAGCGCTTGGCGGGTTTCCTGTGGCCGGGACAGGAGGGTGGGCAGCCTTACGCGTCAGGGGGTGGGGAGTCTAAGAACTGGGAGCCCTCCTCACCCTAGATTTTCCCCAGTCACTAGGCATTTTAGTAGCATTCGGAACCCAAGCTTCCAAGGCACTCGCTGTGCTAAAAATAACTTTTATAACTTCTGAAACACTGACTCATGTGGGCGGGAGGACACCTTGACAACATGTTATTGTTAGGGAGCTGTAATTTTGTTGTTGTGCTATAACAATGTGACATGATGACATTTCGTGTTGTGATGTTGTCATCACTTAAACACAAACAGATGACAAGAATCTGCTGTAGTTAAAAAAAAAATAAAGCAATCCTAACAAGTGCTGCATCTATTAGCTACTCAGTTTATGGACAAAGTATTAATACATACTACGGCGTACGAGCCCAAGTGGATACAAGAAGTACGAAATTTGCAAGGCTCTGTGGTTTCATAAGAAAAAGTATTTTTTTTTTAGAAATAATTTTGCATACAAGAATCACAACAGGAAAGTACTAGGACAAGTCAAAAGACTTTTTACTTTATTCTTTGTACTCTGCTGTTGTTTCCAAAGTTTTACAATGAGTATGTATTACTTTCTCATCAGAAAAGTTCTGTAAAATACAGGATTGCCAATTGCATTTTTTGGCCTCATAAAATTCTTATTAAAAAAGTATTGTGAAATATTATAAAAAAAGCAATATTTTCTACATGTTTGGATATGTACATTAAAATGACTTGCATAACTGCAATTATTAACTCCAGGATTGCATCTAATCAGAACAGGGAAGAACATGCAGGAAGTAACATTTAATTTCACTGAAATGTTCTAGCATCATGACTATGAAACTTTTGACAAATCTATAAAATGGCTACAAATGTTAATTCCAAGTGCTTTTGACTTTGATATTATTGAATACTGTATTATGTAGTTTTTTTGAAAAATGAACTGAAGTTTTACTTGTTCTACAATCACTTCTCAACCTTGGCAATGGGAAACAGAACAGTTACAGATAATCCAAAATCCTAAATTTAGCACAACAGCTGGGGCCAAATAACAGCTATTGTAAAGGGATTACTGGGTGAACAAGCAGCAAGATCTGTGGTTTAGCTCCTCTCCCTCCACCTAATTTGCAAGAAGTATAAAGACCAGAAAAATATTGTGAGCAGAAGCCAAGAATATTGAATAATCTGGGGCATCAACTAGTCTCTTTTAAATAATTAGGTTTTAACAGCACATGGGTATATGATGATGTCTGAACATTTGTTAGACTAACCTGAAATTTTTTATGGAGATTCTTAAAACTTTAAAATTTAAATCATATGGCAGCAGAAAAAGTATTTTTAAGAGGTGTATTTCAGACTCATTCAAATTGTACCATTCATGCAACACACATTTACTGAGCACTCACTACCTATTAGACATATACTAGTCTCTGAGAATATGAAGGTCACCAAAACCAGATAGGGTCACTATTCTCATGGAACTTATCACAACTGTACTATCACAGTTGGATGGCCATGATCAAGTCACATTTTACAGCATTAGTTTCACCTATAGAAATCAGGTATTTAGACTCTGACAATAGATTATCTTTCCTAATTGTAAAACAATCCTATAATTGTATAAAGCATGTTCAGAGTGGTAGGAAATAGAGACCTTAAAATGGCAAGTGGTCAGGCACACACCTGCAATCCTAGCACTTTAGGAGGCTGAGGCAGAAGGGCCTAAGGGCAGGAATTCAAGACCAGCTTGAGCAAGAGCGAGACCCTGTCTCTACAAAAAAAAAAAAAAAAGAAAAGAAAAGAAAAAAAACAACTGTAGTCCCAGCTACTCAGGAGGCTGGGACTGGGATTGAGCCCAGGAATTTGAGGTTGCAGTGAGCAATGATGATGCCACTGCACTCTAGCCAGGGAGACAGAGAGCATCAACACCCGGTCTCAAAAATAAAATAAAATGACAACTCACTCTAAGTGTTGGTGTCAAGTACCTGTTCACACCTCAGGGCACCCAAACAGAACAATCTCTAGTTCCTACTTGGTGAGGGGTAAGGATAGGTAAAGCATAAACTCAAGACAGCTGGCAGGAACCTTACCCTTTTTTTCATCTGATTTGCTTTCCATTTTGCTTTGCCCTAGTGTTCCAAAGTTATATAAGTAATTAATTTCAAAAAAGTTAACTCCTCTTCAGCAATCATCCCCTGAACTTTTATAGATTTTGTTGAAATGGGAAATAGATAACAAAACTATTTAATAAATGTCTCTACATTCTTTTACTTAACTAAGGTGATCAGGATAACTGGTTTGCTCCCTTTTTTTAATACAGGGCTGTTACTGTGACCAAAGCCATAGAAGTAGTCCAGGCTATGAGAATGTGTTCACCACAGCAGAGATTGGTACCCTTTTCATTTTTGTATTCCTAGCACTTAGCAAAGGACCTGACACAAAGTAGAAGTTCCATAAATGTCAACCTTTGTATTGACTAATAAACTTTTCTTTTACATACCTATAATCTGCACTCCTAATACTGGCTGGCATTTTCTCTCTAGAGTTGGAAAATTGGAGGGTGGCACAAACCTCATTTGCGAAGGATGCATTTTCCTTATGCTTTCTACCTGTAGTATTGTCTCATAATAGCAGGAACCTGTTGTAGGTTGAATTGTGCCCCCAGAAAGATACATTGAAATCCTATCCCCTACCTGTGAATGTGATCTTATTTGTAAATAGGGCCTTTGCAGATGTAGTCAAGTTAAGATAAAGTCAAACTGGAGTAGGGTGGGCCCTAAATCCAATGACAAGTGTCCTGATAAGGAGGGAGATATTTAAATTCACAGGAGATGCAGGGAAGATAGCCATGTGACTTAGATATTGGAGGTTCTAAATAGTCAGTAAAACATGAAGATCTTTAATTCTATAAAAGTTACAGTAAATTAAGTCTGTTTAAAAATGTTAAGATCTCCCAGGTATGTTAAAAGATTAACTATGATCCACAGCTAAAGGATGATCATGAATAAGTGGCTGAGAATCATCAAATGAAGATGAACTATTCTAAATATGACAATCAGTACATCCTTTTCATCATAAAGCATTGTGGAAAGAAGGACCGTTGGAAAAAAATTAAAACGCATATATAAAGTTAATCTTGCAAAATAAAAAAAAATAAAAATCAAGCTCTGTACTTTTAGTACTTGTTGAACTAAGATGAAATGCAAGCTACCTTTTCCATATCTACATTGTTTCTTACTATTCACTTAAACTCACTAAAGTTAATTTCTTTCTAAAAGAGAAAGATCATGGAGTCATTACTCGTATTAGGTTTTACAAACAACACTCCACCTTCCCTTAAGTTGGCTGGCTGCTTTGTCCTTTTTTGAAGCTCCTGTTTGTCTACCTTCTATAACCACAGGTATAAGGAAGTGAAAAATTATTTTTTTCTGGTCCCTGCCTGTAGAAGTTACTGTAATGCTTAGAAATACAAAGGCCTCTAAACTTCAAGCCATGGAAACTTAGTTAATCTGAAGGTTTGCTGGGCTGCTGGAGGCCTCTAAGCCACCAAAATTTAAGGTCTTTATAAAAATTAATAATTGTTCTTTTGTGACAGTAACGTGCTCAGCATTTCACATGTATATTTGATCTAAAGAGGGTCATAACTATGTCATGGATTAGGAAATTGAAGCTCAGAGAGGCAAGTAACTTTCCCAAGGCTACAGTTAATAAGTGGAAGGAGCTGCTTCCTGAATGGGCCAATTTCCATTACAATGTTTTGAAGTAGATCAAATAATTCCAAAAATTCCAAATGGGGAAACCAGGGCTCAGAAACATTGAGAAATGGTTGCACATTAAGAATTTAAATTGGTCTATATAAACTTAGGTACAATGCTTTAAGATAAAAGCTCTATATAGAATAGCTCCAGTTTATTTTATGTAACCTCCAAAAAGCAAATGGTCACACTCAGATAATAAAAGCAGCTAAAATTTCTTGAGTACTTAAGTCATAAGCACTATTCTATCTCCTTTTGGTTTTGGGGAGGTTTTGTTTTTGTTTTGCTTTTAAAACAGGGTCTCTCTCTTTTGCCCAGGCTAGAGCACAGTGGCATCATCATAGCATCATAGCTCACCGCAACCTCAAACTCCCAGGCTTACACAATCCTCCTGCATCAGCCTCCCAAGTAGCTGAGACTACAGGCATGTGTGCCACACATGGCTAATTTTTCTTAATTTCTGTAGAGATGGGGTCTTGCTATTGCCCAGGCTGGTCTTGAACTCCTGGCCTTAAGCAATCCTCCTGCCTCGGCCTCCCAAAGTGCTAGGATTACAGGTATGACCCACCATGCCCGGCCAATCCTGAATGCTTTATGTGTATTAGTGTATTTAATACAGCATCCCTATGAAATATTATCCCTATTTTATAACCAAGTAAACAGGAAAGAGGAAGTTAAATAACTTGTCCAAGGTCAAGCAATAAGGCAGTAGTACAGTCAGGATTCATACCTAAGGAGCATGACTTTAGACCATTAAGTTCTTAACCACTACCTGTTTTGGTCTCTTTTAGTTTGGTTTTTACCCAAACCCTGCACATTCCTGTCACTGGGCTTCTGCCATTTAACCTACATGGGATCCTTCCCCAACTTCTATGTAATTACTGCTGGGCTTTCAGGGCCCAAACTGACCTCATGGGTATCTTCTAAAACCCGCAGTCATATATACCATCTGTCTTTTTATTTTTTTCTTTTCTTTCTTTTTTTTTTTTTGAGACAAGGTCCATTCCTTCAGAGTAGAGGAAGGAAAAGAGGGGAAAAAAAGAGAAAGAGAGAAGGTCTCGCTCTGTCACCCAGACTAGAGTGAAGTGGTGTCAT